ACCCCTCCCCCAACCATGGGATCCAGACCCCCACCTGGTCAACCACTTGGGGGTGAAATAATAGGCATGAAGTCACGGCATGTGGTGAAAATTTGTGACGTCATTTTTCTTGAGCTTTTGTTGGCTGCCATCTTGGATGGGGTGTGGACCAGGACCAACTGGAACCCTATATACTACTTACAGGCTCCTGCTTGTGAATATCATGGACCTACCCAACCGTAAGTAATCATTTGGACATCATTGCTCCATGATTCCAATAGCTTGAAAGAGCAGTAAACAAAGTCTCAAACATATTTCTCTTTCGTGCATTAGAAAAAGAAAGGTGGATGGCCAAAAGGTAAGAAAAGGCGCAGGAGATGTCCAGACAGCAATGCACCAAAGGTCCCGCTGACTGGCTATGTGAGGTACCTGAATGAGCAATGGGAGAAAGTCAGAGCAGAACGTTCTGAACTAAACTTTCCTGAAGTGAGAAGTAAGCTACTTGGTGCTCAGTGGACTACACTGTCATCCGAGGAGAAACAAGTATGAATACTTTCTCTGCAAAATCCACTTTTTGGGGAGTACCAGCTGTTTAATATATGTAACAATGTTTATTACAGCACATTAGAATATCATATGTAATATTATATTAACATTAAATTACCTGTTAACCTGTTTATACTCTGACCTGGACAGCTATAGGTAGACAGAGGCGATGTGAGAGTAGCTAGGTTTCTTGCCAAGTAAATACAACATTAAAAACCTGTTGAGGGCTCCAGTCTAGCCCTTTTAATCTGGAGTGCATTAGTTGTATGCACTAATAGTAGGGTATTGTGACTGCTCAAAACATTTTCCTTTGTTTGCAATGTCAGTCAATTTTGCCGCTTTTAGAGATACTTAGATGATGCAGAGAAAGACAAAGAAAGATACATGATGGAATTGGAAGTATATCGGGAAACAGATGCCTATAGAACCTCTTGAAGAAGCAAGCGGAAAGGAAAAGAGAAAGTTAGTTCCTATATCCCCTTTACTTTATACACATACACATAACGTGTCCACCCTCCCCTCTGGGAGCCCCTCAACGGCCCCACCCGACAACTGTTGCTTTTGGCAGGGGGAGTGAGTGAGGGTACGAACTGATCTAAAATGCTGGTCGCTTTATAACTCAATAATATTCATATCAGTGTTTGTCTAACTTTACTGCTAGTTGTTGGATGAGTAACAAGGTTTCCCAAGAGATTTATCGCATTATCATTCTCTTTTTGATACGAAAATTAAAACGTGAACGTATTAAATAACAAGTAAATAAATAAATAAATAA